CAAATACAGTTTAAATTACAATTATCATTTTTTTCCATAAAAAGACCGCAGTTAATGGGTAAATTGTTGCCTATCTGTACCATTTCCCATATTATTATTTTTTAATAATTTATTAAATATATATTTTAATTGAGAAAATTTATTTATTCCCTATAAGGACAAAAAAAATCAATTCCAGATCAAATATAGAATATTCCCTAATTTTTATTGAAACTATAGGGGGTACTTATTATTGTGGTGCCTTGTTTTGTTGCTTTCATTTATATTTTTTGGATACCTATTTTATATTTTATTAGGTGGCACGTTAGTGGGACCAAAATCAAAATATAAGTGAAAAATTTGAAATGTTTAATTTAAAATTAATAAAATTTCGGGAAATTACTGCAAACTGAAGAAATAACTTGAAATGAAAGGTTTGATTCAAAAATTTAAAGCAACTTGCTCAGTGTAAGAATAATATAGACAGGAATTGTTTTTGCTAAACATATATTTGCTTATGAAAGTTTAAAAAAACTTCAAATTATATTTGTGATATTGCACTGAACTTTCCTGAAAATGTTGCTGTAGCACAGATTACATGTGGGGAGACCTAAAAATTTGAAGTTTCATTATTTTAGTACTAAGGTAGCTACACAGTAAAAAAAATCATGCAAAATTTTACACGAAAAGTGGTCACACCAATTTGAATATATTTAACGCCAAGGTTTTCGGTAAATTTGACGAGAATTTGCGTGAAGAATTTACACAAAACGGTGTTAAACATAATACACCATATCATGTAACTTTTACACTAAGTTATATTAAATATACACACAGCAGTGTACGTATTTCCAAATATGCGTGTTGTATTTACACAAAACAGTATTAAATAGAATACACCGAATAGTGTTAATGTACAGGATGGAACATCCTGCTTTTTGTATGATTTTTTGAAAAGTCGCATTTTTTACGACTAGTCTGTTGAAAATATTTGATATTCACCATTCTTCACAAACCTATTAAATCAAACTAGTAAAACTGAAATTATTGAGGATAAACATTAAAATAAAATAAAAATAGCTATCAGATCAAATATTTTCAACCAGAATAGACGTGAAAATGTGCGACTTTTCCAAAAATCATACAAAACACATAAAAAAACTGTTCATTTATGGCGTAAATCTTTAGTTTTGGACACTTTGGTTTTGGTTTCTAATGATTTTTATTGTAGACAACGACAAACGAACATCAACCATCCCATCAGCGCATCAGCACGCTTGGAACTGATCAGTGTCACACAAAAGAAGGTATAGGACGGAGGACTTGACCCGACACACTATTGGGTGTTTAAACGTTCGTCTACCGTGTAAATTTAAACATTTTTGGTGTTCATTTAATGAGAATGGTGTAAAAAATTACACATTGTCATGAGAGTAACACGGAACCAGGATAAAACTTTGATTCAACGCTGTATTGTGTAAGATATCAGGTTACCAAAATACTGTTGGTTAAATGGACGGCACTTTACGAACAATGGTGTATAGTTTTTACACACAACGTGTTTACCACTTTGTCGTGTAATTATACACGGGATTTTTTTTTACTGTGTACGTACCTTTTCACTTGGATTTTCGAAAACTTTGAAATATCGTAAACTTTTTTCTATTATAGATAGAAAGCTGAAATTTCCAGAGATTTTCAGCTCATTTGGATTAGTTAAAGAGAAATAGAATCGCGTTAAGCAATTTGGGGTTAATTTGTCATTTTTTCAATTTCCAATCAAAAACGCTCTGATTGATTTGTGTGAAAATTTTTTGACAGTTCTAACATCCAGTTAAATTTTGTTTTCACTCTATGACACTGTCAAAAATTTTTCTATCCGAATAACCCTCGAACATTTATAAATGCTCAAAAATGTTATAACAAGTTCCTCAAGCTTGTTGCTTAAAGAAAACAGACCTCCGCTAGCGCGTCGGTCTGTTTTCAAGCAACAAGCTTTCGAAATCTGTTATAAAATTTTTTCGGACAATTATCAATGTCCTTGGGCTATTATTAATGAAAAAAGACCTATCATCTCTACTGCTGTCAATTCAATTTTATAAGGGCCAAATTATGGACCGATTGATTGACTGATAAGTGTCAGGTTGTTACCTAGCAGGTACTTTCTATTCTCTAGAGCATTGAAAGTACCTGTTAGGTAATAACCTGACACTTGTCAGTCGGTCCATAATTTGGCCCTAAACAAAATAAATCACAGACTATACAAACCTTGCGGTCGCCGTTCGAAAACCTAGAGCTAGGTTTGCACACCGAAGTGTGCCTTTTTTTCAAAGATTTTGGCTTCAAATCTCAGAAGAAGTTAGTGTATGGAGTTTGGGGGGTCCCAAATGATCATTTAAACACAAAATCTCAACATAAACAAAATTGAAAATTCATCATTTTAATAGGTACCTACTAAGTTATGATTTAGTTGTTAGTAAATTTTTTCAAATTTCAACAGTTTTGAAGGATAAATTCGAGATAAATGTCTAAAAACTTTGAAAAATCATATCTCCAATTGTATTATCGATAAAAGTCTGAAATTTCTAGTGAATCTTATTATAGATAAGACTATAGACCCTGAAAATGTCAGCTTGTTTGGAATTATAGTTGCATGCAGTAGGATATGGTCAAAGTTTATATGGACATGAACATTAGAGCTTTAATAAATAAAACACAAAGCCGGATTCGGGTTTTTCTTTATTCACAATTATATCGCAACTTTCAAACTTACCTGTTCGTGTGAGATATAAACATGTTCTTTTGAACTTAATGAATTACATATTCCATTTTGTATAAATATTGAGTAAATAATATTAAATATTTGTAAGAAGTCTTATTTCACACTTCTCTCATCTAATTATACCTAAGTTCTTATAAAACTTCAATCTTCTTTGATCTTATCTGCTCCTTTTTCTTAGGTCTATAAACCTAGCAGTCCTAAGCTGGAAAAAAACTTTGAGAACTATATAATAGTTATAGGTGCTAATTAGGGCCTCTAATTAAAAATTAGGTGCTCCTCTGATTTTTGAGAAAATCAAAAAAAAAACTAAGGGATTGCTAGGTTTATGAAAGCTAGTAGTCCCCTATAGTAAAAAATATTTTTCCAAAATTTTCTTTTGTATCAGAATTAGGTGCTTTTTAGGTGCTCCTAAATAGTCGAAGAAAAAATAGAATTGATTAATTATTAACTGAGTTACTGATTTTTTTTTAAAAACTAAGAGACGTTTACATGTTGGTGTGTCAGAATGGCAAAAAAACTTCGGGATCTACAGTGTCATTACTTAAGTGTGCAACATATGGGATTTTTTTTTAGTAATAGCACAATCAAAATATAAACAAGGCCAAAAGTTGGTGCATGTCTGATAATCATATTAGGTGCACTTAGAATGGTTGCAGTCAAACAGCATACAGAGTATAGCTCAAAAAATATTTTCATAAACCTAGCAATTCCTTAGTTTTTTTTTGTTTTTCTCAAAAACTAGAAAAGCACCTAATTTTTTAATTAGAGGCCCTAATTAGCAACTAAAAAGCACCTAATTATTATATTGATTCCGAAGTTTTTTTGCCATTCTGACACACCAGCAAGTAAACGTAAAGCCAGCAGTCCCCTTATAATTAAAAAAAAATCTGTAACTCAGTTAATAATTAATCAATTCTATTTTTTCTTGGACTATTTAGGAGCACCTAAAAAGCACCTAATTCTGAAAAAATATTTTTTACTATAGGGGACTGCTAGCTTTTATAAATCTAGCAGTCCTTTAGTTTTTTTTTGATTTTCTCAGAAACTAAAGGAGCACCTAATTTTTAATTAGAGGCCCTAATTAGCACCTGAAAAGCTCCTAATTATTATATAGTTCTCGAAGTTTTTTTCCACCTTGGGACTGCTAGGTTTATAGACCTCTTTTTCTTCTATCATAAATGTTGGTGCGTTGGTGTACCCTGCTGTAATTTCTGGCATTACTGATGCATCAATAACCTAGAACAAATCAAATTTTGCTATTGGTTTTGTTCCTTAAAATCTTTATTTATTTAAAAAAAGGCATAACTGACGATTATTACTTCAACCACCACATTGTCAGGAATATTAACTCAAGTTTTGTTAAATCAAACATTTTTTGACCCTCAATCCTTTCACTCCATACACCCTAAGTCTGGGATCTACCACAGCTTTTTTATCACTAATAGGTCCCATCTTGCAGGTACCACTCTGATGGTGAATCGTAAAGGTAAAATGTCTGCCATGCATTCGAAATACGCGTCACTACCAGATGGTTTGTTCGAGCACTATAGGGTATGGGGATAGTATGAAGTCTGGCACCTGCAGAATATTTTTAATTTACATTGTTGAATAAGGCTTCAATTTCACTTATTGCTCTTAGGGCAGGTTGGGAGATTATAGTCAATATCAGCCTGACTCCTTTCAGTATGGTTTCCATATCTTCTGGCGCAGAGAAATAATTTGAGTAAATGTATTGTTTGTTTTTGTAGTTGGCACTCTTCAACATAATTCTACCTTTGCTTTTTGTCCTGAGTAAATTCAATATTTTTTCAAGACTTTATTTATTCAAATAACAAAATACCATAAATGAATCTGAACTTTCAATAGGCTTGAAAACAGCATTGTAAATTTCATATGGAACTACCTTGGAATAGAATTTCAATGTCTGGATAACCGTTTTGATCACCCGGATGTTCAGAGTCGTGAAACACCAAGACGTAGAGATATGAGGAGGTTAACCTGTTTATATCGATATTTACAAAAAGAGTACCTACCAGGACTCGTGAAAGGCCCTGTGCGATCATTGAAAAAGTCCTGTAAGGACTGCTTGCTTAATATTCTTCCACTTTTCATTGATATAGATTCCTTTATTAAGAAGGTGATTCCACCGACAGCAATGTGATCCATCAAATTATTGTAACCGACATAGAGGTTACTTATTACAGGAATTCCTTAAATATTGTTGCATTTTTTCTGGAAATTAAAACCTAAGTATATTTTTTGTTACAGGTAAGCACTCATTGATATCGGAAAGATGTTTTTTTGGTCCTACTCCGCTCAACATAAGGAGTTGTAGGGAGTTGATGGAACCAGCCGAAGAGATTACTTCTTTTTTGACTTTGGTAAAGTAAGTACGGCCGTTTTTCACCATTTCAACGCCTTGCACTTGTTGGGTTTGAGGATCTAAGAAATTAATTTATGCTGTAGTGATGGCTTTCCCCATCCTATTGGCCTTGTTTTTATTTCAGGTGTTTTAACAATTGGGTAGATTACTACTGAACTCACCTATTACGATTTTCTTGACCATTGTGTACTTGTTCACATGTAAATTTGGTCTATTGCTGATCGGGTGCAAATACGCTCTGCTGGAACTTGCGCTTATTCCATTTTCGAGGCTAAGCTGTAGATATGAAACACCAACCTGAAAAACAGCAAAATTTGTATCAGTCTAAAACTGAAAACTATCAATTACCTGTGTAGGTCCATTATAATCTACGTAAGGAAATCCGTTTTGCATATTGGCATTAACAATTGCTTCAACAATCTTAGTTCTGTTAGGGGGCAACCTTTCCTTCTGCTATTGAAATGGAGATAAGAAAGTAGATACTTAATGTTTAGGGAGATTTTTAATGGATATAAATGTTTATTATGTATCTTTATCTTTCTTCAATTAATGTATTAAAATTAGAGTTTATTGTACACGTTTATTTCAGACTAACCCTAGGAGCCTTGTGCATCTAGACAAGCTAGCTTATTTGAAATGACGAGAAAAATAACTTAGAATTTAGAATTCTAGGAGAAAAATGCATGGATTTGTCTTAAAAAAGATAAGATGTTCGAAAATTAGTCAAATTACTCAGAATTTTCGAGAAATATTAAGAAAAAAAAAAGAAGCCTTTAAACAACAATCCGAATGTTTCCTTTTTCGTACTGGGATTCCTATTCATAGCTATACTTTACCTATTAGTACCAAAATCCTCTTGAAAATTGTACTCACAACACTTCCTAATGGGGCAACACTTCCTCAAATGACCATCCTTCATTACCCATAGCAGCCCAACTGTCATAATTTCTCTAATTTTCTCTGGTGTAGATCATATAATTTATCACACTGGAACCACCTGAAAATGTTAAGAACTGTGTTGGATTTTCAAAAAATAATAATTATATGGCTACTTACCTACAACTTTTCCTCTGGGCCAGTTGCATTGCTTTCCATCCATACCCAAACGAGTCTTATCATCAGGTTCTGTCTTGTATCGCCAATTACTTTCAAGAAATTGCAGATAATTAGCAAAAAGTGGCAAATCCATTAGAAAGTTTTCTGGACCACCTTGATAAAAATTCATTATAACCGACATTTTTAAAAAGTAACTCATACTATAGAAATATATCATCGATATCAGGTGTCTTAGCTTAGTTATTCACTGATAAATAAGCAGTAATATGGCTAATTTATCAGTTCTAGAGCGCAAGAAGAGAGATTGAATTTTGTGTCTTATGATGGTGTAAAAATGATGATGATAATCTCGTTAGGTGGTCGACCCGCTTCCTTGGCAAAAATACTTATTTCTGCAAAGGGGGTCGTATAGACTCAAATGACGTTTTATTATTCTCTACATATATCACAATACTTTCAGGACACTCTCTATAATATTGTTCGTATAATGATCAAAGTCGTCAAGACAGTTAGTATCTACTTTACTGAGTCAATTTCAGACCTTGTGAAACTAATTTTGCATAGAAGCTGATATTGACTACCTATCATTTCGCAGGAAAGATGCAACTTATTTTATATTCATTTAAATTCAAAATATGTACCTGCTTCTACAAGTAATACATTCCATTCAGGATTATCTGTCAAACGATTTGCAAGTACGCAACCAGCAGTGCCAGCACCGACAATAATAAAGTCATATTTTTTCAGCATTTCTTCTGCTCTTAGATCAGGCGGTTCTGCATCGATTTGATCTTGACCTTCAAGAATCAATACAACGGTACAATAAGAGGGTATTTTGACCCTAGTCTACATATACTATCCTAGAGGAAGTGAATTATATTACAATTAGAAACAATTTTTCAAAGGATTAGGAGGGCTAGACGGCGAAATTTCAAAAATACACTAATTTTTAGGTTATTTTACCTCTAAATACCTCCAGTGTGGTCACGTGCCGCACGAAACCTATAGCTGACGTCACACACATAACCTCACTTTCGATGAGAGGACAACATTGGGACAAATATGTCGTGAATATGTAATTGGCAGTAATTGGAACAAACCAACAATATTTATTATTTGCGTACTTTTTTAAACGCTTTGTTTGTTCCCCTATCGAAAGTGAGGTTATGTGTGAAAGTAGGTACCACTTTCAACTTTTTTGCACATTATTCTGGAATAAATTTATTGAACTAATGAATATACCGATTCTTTTTATCTAATTAAGGTTCGGTTTATTTTACCTTTGAAAAGTTTAATTGAGAATTAATTTCTTCTTCCAGCACACCTATCTTTTTGTACCGTAACTACCATTGGTATATTACGAAAATAAACACATCAGTCAATTCTCCCAAAAAAAAATATTTTTCCATATATTTTTCTTTGATTTTTAAAACAAAGTGCTCGTAGGGTGCACTTACGAGCCTCAATACATAAACTATTAACTTTAATGGCATTTCATTAATTATACACTTGGAGATGCCACGTGATTTTTTTTTCCAATTGGAACGTCACGTTATTTTAATTTTTTTTGCCAAAAAGCATGTTTATCTATTGAACTTTGTCAACTAAAATGGATATTACAAAATATCCAATGAATCAAATTATGCAATTACTAATTTATTAAAAACATTCCCATTCACAATCCCTTAACATTACATTGGGAATAGTTTATGAAAACAATAAAAAATACCTTAGAAAAATAAAATTTTATTTACAAAATTACAATTTGGTTATTATAGGTAGTACTACATACATATTTAGTTTAACCTTATGAAAACATAAACTATTTCATCAATTTATAATACACAACTCTATAACAACAATATAACAAACATAGTTACGTAATCCGTATAAAAAAACCTTTTTTTGGATATAGAGAAATCCATGCAATAGCATATCATGAACCCTAATCATATAGCCAAAACTAAGAAAACTCATTCTAATGAACATTCTCTTGTTTGGTGTATTGCTTTTTTGCCCAGCCATTTCCAACATACATACATATAATAATTTGAAGATAACATTATGGCACTTATGACCTAACTTTCCTAGAAAACCTAATTGTTTATTATGGCACTTCATAAAATTTTTATTTTGAATAATTCGTCAACCAATCTTCTTTAACCAAATCAGCACCTTTCTCCCCAACCATAATCGTTGGAGCATTAGTATTGCCGCTAGGGATCGTTGGCATAATACTAGCATCTATCACCCTCAACCCCGCTATTCCATATACTCGTAATCTAGGGTCTACCACTGCCTCTTCGTCCCAATCGGGTCCCATTTTACACGTACCCACAGGATGGTAAATGGTCATCGAAATAGTTCGTATATGGCATTCCCAATATTTATCAGAGCCGAATGGAAATTTTTCGCAGTTGGGAAAAGGTATCAGATGCACTCTACTACCGAACTTTTTGAACGATTTGGCTTCACTAAGTTTTACAGCAATCTTAGCACCTTCCACAAGGATTTTAATATCGAAGGGATGATGAAAATAGTTGGCGTTGATGATTGGGGCATCGAAAGGATTTTTGCTTCGCAGTTTCACCCAACCTCGACTTCTCGGACGTAATAGTAGAGGCATTATAGTATAGACGTCCTGATTGGCTATAGGTTTATACACTGCATTGTACAGTTCGTCAGTTAGACCTAGAACTTTCCTTACTCTGGCTCCCGCGTCTGAGTTGACGCTGGCTGGCGCCATATGGAATTGGATATCTGGCCAGGATCTGTTGCCATACCTGATCAAATAATATTGATAGTGATGGTATCTCAGAAAATATACGCTTACTTACTTTGTATCAACAAAAGCAAGCCCCTCAACACCGCCCAAGGTGGTCATTGGGCCTTTCTCGTTGAGAATGTATTGCATCGTCATAGGAAATGGTTGGAATCTATCTTGTACGATTGATACGGGCCTGTCAATTCTGAAAATTATAGAATCAAAATCAATGTTGATATCTAATGAAACTATTTTCTTTGCTCTAACAAGTGATAATATACCAATAATTATGACAACTCATTCATAGTTATTAAATGTTACGAGCTGTTCCATCATGAGATGTATGTAATTTAAACTCTTTACAGTAAAAATCAGCTTTGTTATAATATTCGTTTTTGTGTAAACTCATCACGATATTTATTACTGACACCTACTACAACATCTTCACCCAACAACCGAAATTAGCGAGTAATATGTTTTGGAGCTCAACATCCAAAAGACTAAACAGATGTTTTTTTAGAAAGCACCTTACCATTGTTCCAAATCTTTGGGCTGTCATCATTCGAAACTGGGACCAAATGATGGAGGTAAAATGTCACCTCCAGCTAACCAGAAAATCATTTATTCGGCTCAGAAGAATGTAGACGCAATCTCGACTTCAAGCGACGAATTATGTTACTTATTACTTAGGGGATAGTCACTTGCCATTTTCCAGGACAGAAAATCTCTATTTGTGGAGATCATCTTGGAACTCTATGGATCTCCATGGATATCGTTGGATTTCCATGTATATCCTTGGTTCTCCAGGCATATTTTTGGGAATCATTTGGATTTCCATGAATTTCCCTGTATCTCCTCCAAACCTCCATATTCACGAGCATATACATTAATACCTATGGTTGTGCGCTCGCAATTACGCTTTTCCGATTCTACACGACTATACAGCCGAAGTTCTTGGATCTCGACTTATCTCCACGGATATCCATGGATATCCACAGATCTCCACAAATCTCCATCTCGTAAGACAGAAGATTTCCACAGTGGCTACCCCACGATGATAGTTACTTGTGATTTTCTAGGACAGAAAATCTTCATATGTGAGGATCTTTTTGTAACTCCATAAATCTCCATGGATATCCTTGGATCTCCATGAGAATCATTTGGACTTTCATGGATTTTCGTGTACCTATCTCCTCCAAACCTCCATATATAGTTCGCCTTACTAGTCTAGCACTACGACTTCTGAAGGGCAAGGGGGAATAACACCATTAATTTCGAGCTTTATGCTGCCTGTTATAGGCGTGCGCGCAGTGTTTTTAAATTCTCAATATCACTTTTTCCTTATAGATGTAGGTGTGTAACATAGATGTATCAAGGGAATTATGAGGGTGTTAATACCACAGGGCAAAGTTTGTGTCCCTCGGGCCTTCGGCCCTAGGGACGCCAATTGCCCGTGGGTATTAAAACCTGATAATTCCCGTGGTACATAGAAAATTTTATTTCCTACTGAATTTACTGTATTTTGTCCATTTTTATAAAGGAATAAGCCATAAACCAAAATTTATATTTTTTGTCAAAGTTTCACCTATTCAAGGCAAAAGCGGGAGTTATGGAAATCCTTAACTCTCTTGGGAGTTAGTATAACCTTAACTCCCGCGCGGGAGTTATGAAATCCTTAACCCCCTTGGGAGTTAAGACCCTGTTTATGATTATTGTAACCAAGGTATTATATGGTTATAATAGTTCAGTAGGAAATAAAAATATTAAGGTATGTCAAATAGGCAATATTGCAATTTTTTATCCGCATTCTTTCCATAGTGCTAGATTCGTAAGGCGAACTTTACATTATACCCATGGCACCAGTTAAAATGACGTGCGCGCACAAAATTACACTTTTCCGATTCTACACGACTACAGCCGAAGTTCTTGGATCTCCACATATATCTACCGGATCTCCACCTATATTCACGAATATATAAGGATTTCCACAGATCTCCACGCATCTCCATGAGATCTCCATCCCGTAGGACAGAATATTTCCACATTGACCACCCCCTCGGGGATTTCCAATTTACCGTACTTCTTTACAACCTAAATTGAAGTTTTTGAACAAGACCTTTCGAAGTCGTATTTTTGGTTCAAAATTGAATTAAAATCCATCTAAATGCAGCTAGTAGTTACAAAAATTGTTCAAAATTGCTTTAAAAACTAAAAATGGTCCAAAAGTATCATCTACTGCATATGTATAGGTAATAGGAGGTAGGTGAGAAAATGGAAGATGTACATCATGGCTGAAGAACCTGAGACAATGATTGTCCAACCATAGATGTCAACATGACCAATGAAGTTTTGGCTGTCAACATGATTGCCAATAGCCGGTAATGGATAATAACTTATGCTTAGGATTTTTCAATCTATAAATGCGTTGATACATTTATAAAACTACTACAGTTACCTGAAAGTCAATCCTCCCATTCCCACATGATCTTGCAAATTCCTTCCAACGGGTAAATTCCTTAAAACTGGAATGTTGTGCTTGTGAAGTTCCTTTTGGGGCCCTATCCCTGACAACATCAAAATTTGGGGAGTGTTGATTGCGCCTGCGGCCAGGATAACTTCTTTTCTAGCCATTACGACTTGCCGATGTCCTAAAATCATTTTTGATGTGATTTTGTTGTGATAGTGCTTGAATTTAGAATTATTACCATTTCGAAAGAATTCAACTCCATACGCTCTCATGTTGGTAGGATTTATCAGTACTTTGGTGACGTGAGCATTTAAAGCTGTGTGAATGTTTTTCCTCAGTTTCACTGGCCTCAAGAAAGCTTTGGCTGTAGAACAACGTTGGCCTCTTCGAATTGTGCCCTGCGCTATCATGAATCCTGCTTGGTCAGCACCGTTGATGTCTCTAAAGATGTTTTAATTTTAAAACCAGTTTCTTGTATTTGCAGTTAAGTAAACAAAATACCTGTTAGGGTATCCGTTTTCCATTCCAGCTTCTACGAATGCTACAACCAATGGACTTCTCCAAGGTGATTCTTGGACGGTGAGTAGTCCACCAGTTCCATGATAAGGAGTTTTCGCAAGATAGGGATTTCTGTTGTCTTCTGATTTTATGAAATACTGCAAAACCTCTTCGTAATTCCAACCAGGATTACCTAAAAAATGGCAATGAACTTGTAGGACTCGCTAGGAAGAATAGTTTATTATTCAACGAGCGGGTAATGATGGCTATTACTCACGGAGGATAAAGTTTGCACTACGAGCCGCAGGCGAGTAGTGTAATCATCAGAGTGAGTATTAGCTATTATCCACAAGTAGAATACTATACTTCTTCTATAATTAATAAGTTTAATAGGCACGAGTTATGCGGATTTTTATTTAATTTCCATAACAAAATTAATTGACAATTCTGACAGCTGGAGGATAAAGTGAGGTTAGGTTAGCACAAGTCTTGTCTAAATCAGCTATCAAAATGACCGATTGGAAAGTTGAAGTATGTTGTCAACTTGTCGAATTTTCTGATTGGCTTTTAAATAATGGAGTAATGAGACCAGGATATTTTCATTAGTTGAAAACAATTGAGTAATGAAAAAAACTCACTGTATGAGTAATCATTCACATTGATCAATGGAAAATGGATGTATATTACGCATATTATTATTCAATACTCATAGAAAAAGTATTAAAGTTGATGAGTGAAACAAGCTTAATTTTGCATAAAGCTCATTTTACTGCTCAACAAGCAGAACATTTTTTGAAGTGAATTCCGGTTGATTTACGGCACGAAATGATAGCGAACACATAACATGCTCAATTTACTATAAAAAAAGAAGATGGATTCAAATTACATTTGTTATACTGCACCAAGTGTTTTAGACCTGTACAGAACTCTTAGAAGTTTAATGGGTATTCAAATCTAATATAGAGATCATCAGATCATGATGCTATGGGGAGTTGAAACGCTTTACCTAGTGCCTCCCAATGATCGTAGTCATTCCGATGTCCTCTAACGTACAACATGTAGTTCAAAACACTGGATCCACCGAGCACTTTGCCTCTAGGCCAATTACACTGACCATTTTTCATACCTAAGAATTGAAAACCTTGAACGAGAAACAAATATTTAATGTTACTGTTTTTCTACCTAAACAAGCTCTGCCAGTATACTCCGTTTTATAAGCCCAATCCAATTTGGAAAGCTGCAAGTAAGCCGCCAGACTTGGTACGTCAGAAATCTCATTTTCGTCTCCACCTGCTTCCAAAAGCAGCACTTTCCAGTCAGGAATTTCCGATAATCTAGACGCTACCTATAAAATAACAAATTAATTCTTATTCTCCTATGAGTATTATGTCATATTATAATTACAACAGCTCCTGCTGATCCTCCTCCTACCACAACAAAATCGTATTCCGTATACAATGTTTTCTGGTTGATTATTGGAGCTTCTGGATCTAATTGGTTGTAATTGATGAATGTCAAACTGGCAAGAATAAGTGGTATGATCCAAAGGGTGGATCCAACAATTCCAACTGTCTTGAGGGCTGTGGCAGCTAATAAATGTCCTATCGCCATCTTTCAATATTATTTATGAGAATACAAAACTTTTGATCTATTATCACAGATACCTAAAAACTATAAAATAAATCAGTTATTTATTTATCAAATCGTATAAGTCTTACCTAATTAACTCAACAATAATGGACTAGATTGATTTGTTGCTGAATAATCTAAAACTCTCTCCTCAATTTCAGTTTTAATCCGGAGGACGAATTTTCATTTTCAGCCAACGATGTTTGAGTTTTCTTTTGTTTTGCGTATGGTTGGTGTAGAACACCATTTCTGTGTCATCTGGTATGTTCTAGAAGTTTCATTCTAAGCTGGTAGCTGAAAAAGTATATAGATTATAATGTAGCTAATAAATCGGTGAAGAGAGATTTTGTAACAAAATCAATAACAAATGTATATTCTCGATTCAAATTCATTATTCTTGGGAAAAAAAGATAGCTAAAATGTGACCCTATGATGAAATTTACAAACACATGGAGTTCTGCGAAAGGTCTAATCTGTTCGACGGTAAAAAGCACTTGAACAAGAAAAGTATCGAATTTTATAGCTTCAAGATTATTACTGCTGTAATCCAAAATTGACACATATATAGGCAAAATTTATGTTTTCCGAGATCTCTCGACTAAACCAGACCCATGTGGTTGTAATAATTTATTCAAAATCAAGAATAATTTTTGACCCACGTTTTATAACGAACCTAGATGTCAGAATGATATATTATGCGAAGCATATGTGTGTGTAGAGAAACAATAATTACATGAGCTGGATTTTTAAGATGCAATAACCATATTGTATAATAATAATAATATAATTATCAAGGGTTATTACTATAGTCAAATGCATAGTTATAATTAATATAGCTATATTAAGATAGTGACAGAATTATTCACGCTACCAAAGTATCAATACATAACATCTCAATTTTGTCACAATTTCAAGAAATTGGTATTGGAGAATCGATACCAATTTTTTTTATATTAGCCTTTTTACCAAGATTGCTGGATATGGACAGGCAGAAATGGAAAATATAGAAGCGGCTAACATTCAGGAATGGATGAGAACGTGCTAATAAGAAGGAGCAAAAAGGGAATTTTTTAATTTCTCCGTCGCTTATGTTTCAAACATTTCGTCTTCAAATCCCACAATGATTCACAGTGTGGAGCTTGGGGGCTTCCAACAACGGATAAAATGTTTCAAAAATCATATCTTCAATTTTATCATAGATAGGAATCTGAAGTTTTCAGTGAATCTTATTTTAGTAGAGGACTCGATTTGAGAGTGAAGCTTTTACAGACAGAGATCCATTTGAAATTGGTGTTCTCTATGCCAATGCCTTCTGCCAAATTCTTTATCTAGTAGAGGTCTACAAACCCTGATAATTTTATCTCACAAACATCTAGTTTCATATGTGAAACCTTAAAAAATTGTCTTTGATATAACATCGCATCGATGGAAACAATTTAAAAATTCCAAAGGCCACCCAATTACTTAGATAGTGAGAACAAAGTTTCAACAAATAATTAAAATTATTATTACATAAAACGTTTACATCAAATTATTACTATGGATTTGCTTTCGTTGTGGCAATGCGACCTTTCTTTCGATTTCGATACAGCCTTGCTATTGAGAAAGCGGTCAACCGTTGCAACCGATCGGACACAGGTTGCAAGTATCAATAGTCACTATTTTATAATCAATTGATTTTGAACTCAAGTATATTGGAAAGCTGGAGAAGTACCATAATAACTAAATTGGACATTGTTTTTAATTGCCAGGAAATGTAAAAGCCATCCTCTTTAAAGTTGCAAAGTACCAACTGCTCTCTAATAACACCATATCGTGATCTGGTATTCTGATTTACCATGTAAAAGGCGTTTGATTTTATTTCCCACTTCCTCCTTCTTTGGTAAACTTGATTGTTGTTCCGTTCCGAGCGATAGTTCTAGTCTAGGTACTTTCTTTTGTTACATAACGTTGATATATTTATTGTTACTAAATACATCATTAAAATTTTAACTGTACTAAAGGCCAATAATATTATAGAAAAGATGATTATCGTTCATTTAAATTCTTTGCCGTCGTCTTGTGTGGTATCATGGTGTTTATTTAGCAATTAAGGACTGTTTGTTTTTCGAAAACAATTATTATCTGTCTTCCTCAAACATGAATATTTATCTTTATAGTACGGATATGGCAAGTATGAATACTTTACGTAATTCGAGCGAATACCGACCGCAGTGTCTACTTCCCCGTGTCCCAGAATTCGCAACAATTTCTCCGAGGCAGTACCTCTACCTATAAGGCTTATTTCCGATATGTTTGCCTTGTTTAATTGGACTTGAATTATCGTAACTTACTCGAACGTCTGTTTTGTTTTTGCTTGTGTTTATTACCGTACTGACCAATAGTCATTCTGTAATTAGGTATCCCCCAGTATGCGATGAAGATAGATACTTATTTCATCAGTCCTATAGAAGATCAGAGATTAGTGAAAATCTTGTGGTATACATACAAGTACCTATTAACTCAGTGGAATTTTTGGAACAAATTTTTTCTCAAGACAATGTATGTTATTTAGCTTTTGTGCTATTCAGATACCTTGTTCTATGCGATTTTTATGTATTTGGCCTATTACAAACATCACCTAATAGGCAGCGGTTCAATTCCAATGCTTTTGGGACATAAAAAAATGGATAAGTTCCATGTGTAGAAAAATACAGTCAAACTAATGAGGAAAAATCGTATTCTTGAACAACCAGCAACAGTTTTCCTATAACACTCCTTTGAAAATCATCACATAACAAGCAACATTTTTTACATAAAAATTACCATTTACACCAAATTCACCCACTAACCTGTACATTTTTGAATGTATCAACCCGCGGGGCAACCATGATATAACCAAAAACTCGTTTAGCCAAATTTTAAATGTAAACATGATGATGCATTGTTCGAAATTCTTGACCCACATTAACTACACATGTTTTCGGATTACATAAAGAATACATAAGATGATTCATTTAAAATAGAAACAGATAATAAATTATTGTAGAAGTATTAAATCTTCACTCATAAGTCTCTCAATAACAGCACTTATTGCTTGAAGGTTCAACGAGAAATTGTTTATTGTGGCCAAAGAATTTTCAAACGAGAAGTCAAAAATTCCTAGAGAAGAAAATAAAATAATACCAAGAAGTAGTGGAAATATCTAAAGAAACCTATTGTGATCAAAGAAGAAATTGATGAAGAATCGTGATTTACTGATTACACTCTGGAGTCTGCGAGAAAATAGGAGCTACTTCCTGTTAGCTTGGAAAATGTGTGTGAGTGTCGAAGCCCGATCACAATGTGGTGAAATAGAGCAGGGAGCAAAAATATTAAAGAGAATCATTGATATTGAATTTAATATTATTAAAAATATTCATATTCTTCAACTCTGTTCTCTTACCTTTCACTCTTCTTTCCAAAATATTTCCATAAAACCACAATTGGTAAGGGTGCGGAGGCTCAAAAGGTAACTATTTTTCCCTGGGACGAAAAAACACTTCACCCTTATAACATGCCCTGAAAAAAAATCAGTGTAATGAATTCACATTGTTACCAAAAATTATTGAAATTCAACTCACAAAATTAGATCGGCACAAGCCAAAACGAAAGTAAAAGTCAAAGACGTCGCAACGACTGATTTCGGGTGGTTCTTTCTTTCTTCGGCTCGCGTACGGCGTCGTTGGTGGTACTCCTTTATTGGAGGAAGGGGAGACGATTGGTTGGAGTTGGACCTCGAATGGAGGGTTTGCTAAAATTTTCAAATCTATTTTTCAAAGAATATCGATCCATTTTGAAAGGTCATTACTTTTGATTGAAATTTTCAATGATTGTTTTCCTAGTATTATAGAGGACTACAATCCCTGAAAATGTCAGCTCATTTGGACCTATAGTTCCAGAAATGAAATCATGTTAAGCAATTTGGGGGAATTTATCAATTTTTCAATTTTTCTGAGTACCTTTTTTCATAGAATCCGGCTCCAAATCTCAGAATAATTTAGTGTATAGGTTGAGGGTTCCCAAAGGTCCAAAGGTTCATTAAGATACCAAAATCTCAACAAAAAAAAAATTGAAATTTCATCGTTTTAGTACTGAGGTAATTACATAATGATTTAGATTTTGGGAAACTTTGAAAGGTCATAACTTTTCCTCTATTATAGATAAAAAGCTGAAATTTTCAGCGATTCTTGTCCCAATAGAGGACTACAATCCCTGAAAATTTCAGCTCATTTGGACTTATAGTTCCAGAAATATAATCGCGTTAAGCAATTTGGGGTGATTTATCAATTTTTCTGAGTGCCTTTTTTCATAGAATTCGGCTCCAAATCTCAGAATAATTTAGTGTATGGAGTTCGGAGTATCCCAAAGGACCATTAGGGCACAAAATCTCAACAGAGAAAAAATTGAAATTTCATCGTTTCAGTGCTAACTGAGGTGTATGGATGGGACCTTATGATTTAGATTTTGGAAAACTTTAAAAGATCATAACTTTTTTTTAAAATTATAGATAGAAAGCTGAAATTTTCAGCGATTCTTATCCCAGTAGAGGACTACAATCCCTGAAAATTTCAGCTCATTTGGACTTATAGTTCCAAAAATATAATCGCGTTAAGCAATTTGGGGTGATTTATCAATTTTTCAATTTTTCTGAGTGCTTTTTCCATAGAATTTGGCTTCAAATCTCAGAATAATTTAGTGTATGGAGTTCGGGGTATCCCAAAGGACCATTAGGACACAAAATCTCAACAGAGAAAAAATTGAAATTTCATCGTTTCAGTGCTAACTGAGGTGTATAGATGGGACCTTATGATTTAGATTTTGGAAAACTTTGAAAGATCATAACTTTTTTTTAAATTATAGATAGAAAGCTGAAATTTTCAGCGATTTTTATCCCAGTAGAGGACTACAATCCCTGAAAATTTCAGCTCATTTGAACTTATAGTTCCAGAAATATAATCGCGTTAAGCAATTTGAAGTGATTTATCAATTTTTCAATTTTTCTGAGTGCTTTTTTCCATAGAATCCGGCTCCAAATCTCAGAATAATTTAGTGTTTGGAGTTCAGGGTATCCCAAAGCACCATTAGGACACAAAATCTCAACAAAGAGAAAATTGAAATTTTATCGTTTCAGTACTAAGATAGCTATCGAGTTCTATACAATATACATTATCAGTACTTAGCTTAATAATTCTCCAACATCCAACAAACTTTCAGCATGTTTGTGTTGTAATTTTCGTTTTATCTACATTTTTATTGTGGCCTGACAGTGGTTAACCACGCAGCCTTTTTAAACTTTACCATCATTGTACGAAAGACTGCACCATAACGAACTAAGTCGCCCAATATAAAATACGATTACCCAAGACTTTCTACACGTTCAAACCAAATTAATGCACATCAGGTAGACATTTTAACAATCCAATATGATATATGAATATTCTAAAAAAATAATAGCTTGCATAACGATACAAAAAGTGAGATTTTTTTTTCAGTCACAAACGAAGGTCCAATCCTTCAATAAACCTAATTTTCTATAATGAAAAAAACTGTTGCATCAATATCTAAACAATGCCTGCTTTCATTGTTAAGGATTCCAATTATTGTCTTCCGGTGTAAAAGACTCCAAGGCACAGTAAAATACAATGTTAACGAATTTATTGTGGAATAATAAATTATAATTACTTGTCCAATTTAACAAAAATTGGTTATTGAACTCGCGACATTTTATCGTCGTCCAGCTAATTATTATATAAGCTCATCTTGACATAGTGGCATCAATTTATTGATTATGTAATGGATTGTGTTATGTAACAGATAACCCCTCGGGTTTACGTGCACCTACCAGCGCGGTATTATATTACATACTTTCGTGAAAGGAGAAATTGCTTATACACATTGACTTATAGTCGGATACCATGCGGAATACCCAATAATTTGTTAGCACGAGGTTTTTGTTTAGAAAATTACACCTTTTGAATATTACACAAGGAATAACCTATATTCAACTGATAGATCATACATTTCCTATTATTCTTGGCGCTTTTCCAGGGGTTGTAGGTACAGGGTGTCCAAGATTTGATGGTTTTGGGGGGGTTTCGAGTGTTTCTAAACGAATTGAAAAAGATCTGATCCCCCCACTTGCGAGTTTCGATTTTCAAGAGAAATTAACTGGTGAAAACCGCATCTTGATATGTCGAGTCGTTTTTAGGCTACGAGGAGTTTTTGTGAAAAGTTTGGAGTTTGACAGGGGGTCTATAACTTTTTTGTTTATGAAAATTTGGTCAACTATTCGCCTTGTAGCTTACAAACTAATCGAGATATCGAAATGCGGGTTTCACCAGTCAACTTCTCTTGAAAATCGAGGCTTACTAGTGGGGGTCAGATTTTTCCCAACTCCTCTAGAAATCCCAGAAACCCGCTAAAACCTCAAACCATTGAATCTTGGACACCCTGTACATACGTAAGTTCCATTTTTGACTCTTGAATCTTTCAAAAAGGTACTTAGTCTCTTTGCAGCCGTTGTATTGAAACCAAAAAGTCCAACTGTTGATGGTTTTGCGAAAAAACCCAAAAGAAATAGTAAGGGACTTCCAAAAAAAAAAAAAAAACTTCAAAACGAGAAACTATAGAGTTGATTTAAAAATCGCAATGGTGTAGCTTTGATGCAATTTTGTAGCTGAAGATAGCTGGGAATATCATCTCATTTGACAAAAAGTTATGTCCAATATTTTGCCACCAGATTTCCAAATATTGACAAAAAAGTCAGGAAACACCCAGTATTTAGTGTAATTTTCAATGTTTGCTGTGTCCACATTTTTGTCACACTCTTGTATCCGAATACTCATTTGAAAGTCATGCACATGGGGAAACTTTGATAATGTTGGAGTGTCAGTTTTTTATTAGCTGACTGGCTATTCTCCCTTCTTCAACTATAAATTGATTATGTTTGCTCTTATTTTGGTATCGAGCCAGACGACATAAATCCGCAACTATCTGACAATGTCATGTTATATATTTGTCTCCAGATAGCACAAAAATTACTGAAATATCTCATTGCACTTGCATTTAAACAATTAAGTACCTATGTATTTATTTCAATATCATTTAAAAAATTACATACAAAAATATAAGGTACGACATTCATTAGCAAATATACATATGAATATTGCAAAATAATCGAACAACAACAACTGGGTTGTCCTACAATTATTATATTACAATTTACAATAATTATAAACTTATGTTACAATTTTTTAATGACTAGCTATCAACAGTTTTACTTTACTGAGGAAAAAAATATAAAAGTTAATGTTATCACAAGTAAATAACAAAATAATATTCCAATCTATTTCTGTTGGAATTTTTACAGAATACATTTATTCGAATCATGTCATGATTCTATTTCTAGAAATAGAAAGACAATATCCAAATGGATGATTTTCGTGGAAAAAGTCTGTTCTGGGAGATGCTTGAAGTGAGTTAGTTACATTTGTCGAGTTTTTTTTTTCTTCAAAAATTCTCATTTCATTATCCTCATCCCCCAGTCCTCTTTAATCATGTCACTAGCTTTCTCGCCAATCATTATCGTCGGAGCATTGGTATTCCCACTAACGATATTGGGCATTATAGACGCGTCGACCACTCTCAACCTTCCCACCCCGTACACCCTCAATCTTGAATCCACTACTGAATCTGGATCAGCTTGGCGTCCCATTTTACAAGTGGATGTTGGATGGTAAATGGTAAAAGTAAAATGTCTCAAACTGCATTCCCAGTATTCGTCCGTATCGAATTCGTATTCTCTACAAGCTGGAAAGGGTATCTTGTGAGGTCTTGAGCCAAATCTTTGGAAGGCTTTGGAGGAGGAAACGTTTAAGGCTATCCTAACGCCTTCTGTTAGTACTTGGATGTCTTCTTTGTGAGTGAAATAGTTGGGGATTATTTCTGGATAAACTTTAGGATCTCTGGATTTGAGCTTGATCCATCCGCTGCTCCTTGGACGCAGCAACAAGGGCAAAATCGTCCAGGTCTCTGCGTGTTTCAGAGGTTTATAGACAGTATTGTAGATGCTGTCGCGGAGACCAGTTATTTTACGAACCTAGAAATAATAATTTGGTAAGAATGTATAAAATGTAGTAGGTATTTACCTGATCTGGATCACTATTAATGCTGCTAGGAGCAAAATGAAACTGAATATCAGGCCACGTGCCAGATTCAGGTGCATATTTAGTGTTGACGAAAGCCAAACCTTCAACTCCTCCTAGCGACGTCATAGGTCCTCTTTCGCGGAGAATGTATTCTAAGGCAACTTGCATTGTTTGGTATCTAGAATCATGTTTGAAGTAATATTCGTTTAGCTTTTTGGTGATTCATAAATTTTACCTGGATTTTGTAAAAGTTACTGGTTGATCCACAATAAAGGTAAGCCCCCCAAGTCCAATATGGTCTTGAAGATTGTGTCCGACTTTCAAATCGCTAATTACTGGGATTTTAAATTTTTCTAAATCTTCTCTTGGTCCTACCTAGAAAAACATATTTCTTTTACACATTATTATGCCATTGTCAGGAAACCTTTTCCTAGAGAAAACCACTGCACCAAAACCAATATGCCTATGAAATGGGTAAAGACACGGAGTCCCACACACCATCAGCAGATGGATTGATAACATGATTCGTGGCAGACTTGTTCAGGCTACTCTTAATAATGATATAATAGAGATGTCAGTGTCAAAAGGCTACCCATAGGATGGGGTTCTGGTCCTATCCCCTATACTGTGGGACCTGGTCGGAGACGATCTCATAGTAGAACTTGATAACAGAAACATTTATACCCAGGGTTACTCGTGGAGGATTGGGTCAAAAAGTGTCAACCCTGAGAAAACAGGAATGTTCCTCTTAACTCTTAACAGAAAGAAGAAAACTAGACGATCTAGTCCCCCAATATTGTTACAAACTCACCATTTGAGATGAGAAGTGACAACATGGCCCCAAGAATAAACACTCACAAACAGTTTGAAACCCAGGAAACCAAAACAGAAAACTCACTAGTCCAGAATGGAAAGTTAATATGGTACACTGATGGTTCCAAAACTGACAGTGAAACCAGTGCTGCATATTGGCTTTCTCCACTGGGGAAGCATACCACCGTCTTCCAAGTCGAAATGCATGCAATAGTGATATGCCTGCGGAAAAATCTGAGAAGGGGGTATGCAACCCTTTTTAACCCTAGCCAGCCATCATAAGTAAACTCTTATACGCGTTGACGGCAATGAAAACACGAACTGCTTAGCCAGGCAAGGATCAGAAAGGTAGTTTATGGGTCCTGATCCCATATTTGTGATATCAAAAACCTCGATACGTGGCTACTTAGAAAAGTGGATCTGATAGGAATACAAAAACCACTGGTATAGTTTTCAAGTCAATTGGAACAAGGTGAACATAAATCATAACTGGTGGCTGACTAGTGGCAGTGCATTTCTTATGGAAATCTTCAGTGACCAGTCAACCACCAGTTGGTACCTTGTTTCAATTGAGTTTGGAAATACTATAAGGCAATGGTGGAATATTCTTCAGCAAGATTAGCCTCTGACATCATAAAGCTCACGAGAAATCAGATCAGAATTGTGTGTCTTAACCGGTCATTGTACAATGAGAAAATAGATGGATATCTACCAAGATGAACCTATCTGTGGACTGTGCGACGAGGACGAAGAATCAGCGTCTCACATCTTTGCTCACTGGAGAACTCGACACCTTCTGAAGGAGGAGCTCATCGCCCATCCAGAAGGAGGTTCCCCTGAAGACTCCAATAAAGAGGCTACTGCATCTGGCGAAGGTGTCAAACCTCTTTTAGCAGAAACTTACACATTACATAGTAAGGGATACAATAACCCAACTTGCTTCCGTAGATCAAATCAATCAATCAATGCCATTGTTTGTCTCAATTCTCTTCCAGAATATCTAATGTCACTTACTCAAAAAAAATCATATTGCAAATAACATACCCCACTTAACATCAAAATATGGGGACTTCCAATAGCTCCAGCACTCAATATAACTTCCCTTCTGGCCTTGACAAAATGCGGTCTGTGGTTTTTCATGAATTTTACACCGTAGGCCATTTTGGTTTTACGATCGATCATGATTTTGGTTACTTGGGAATACATTGATATGTGGAGATTGGGACGATTTCGTACTGGTCTTAAAAATGCTTTAGCGGTGGAACATCTAGATCCACGACGAATGGTACCTAGAATTTACTGAGTTATGAAGATCATTGATACTATGTTACTTACCTTGAGATAACATAAATCCAGTTTGCATCTCGCCATTACAATCTCTATGCTGATACCCCATTTCCTTTCCAGCTTGTAAGAAAGCAATGCTCAGTGGAGTTCTCCAAGGTGATTCCTGTACAGTCAAATAACCTCCAGTCGAATGATAAGCTGTTCTAGCTAGATAAGGATTTCTATTGTCTTCAGACTTCATAAAATATGGCAGGACATCTTCGTAGGACCAACCTGTATTACCTTCTTCTGCCCATCGGTCGTAATCATGCCGATTACCCCTGATATAAATCATGGCGTTTAAAACGCTGGAACCACCAAGTACCTACAAATTATCAGAATATTTGAAAACTTATTTTTACTGTTATTTAATTTATTATGGCGCTCACAATAAGGTGGTTATTACGTTACTCCGTAAAGCAAAAAGAGTGAAAGTTAAAAATTAGCCGCTAGGCATTTTGCTTGAAATAACTTCGAGATTATTTTCGCGACATGGTATTTGATGCACCTGGATTTTTTCTTGTTTTAGAAAATAATAACTACTAGCCTTTCCTCTAGGCCAATTGCACCTATCTCCTATCATTGCAAGACAATATTGGGAATCGGTTGGAGGGCTGGTTTGATACATCCAATCAAATTGCGACATTTGCATGTATCTGAAAATTTAAGTATTGTAATATTAAATTTAATTTATTCAAGATTCACTAACCCGCTTAAAGTTGGTATATCGCTAACTTCATTTTCGTCTCCACCAGCTTCTAGTAAAAGTACGCTCCACTTTTCGACCTCCGAAAGCCTGGATGCCACGACTGCACCTGCCGAACCACCTCCTATCACTATAAAATCATATTCTGGTCGTACCTATAATAATTTCCTATTTAGAATTTTTTAAATTAATATTTATTTCATACCTTCATAATGTCAATGGGATGTGATTCTGGATCCACCGATACATATTGCATAAACATTAATCCAGCAGCAAACACAGGAACAAGCCCCAAAATAGTTAAGGGGTTGAAAGAGAGCCCAACTGCATAATGGGCTACTCCCAAAAATGACATGACTAGAATATTTTTGTATTATTTACACTGGCTATTTACAAGTCCTTAGTTTAATATTGGCACGTATGAAATCTTTTGTATTATCTATTTGGCACTTTGAAAATTCGATTTACTCAAATCCACATTCCCATGTTGACCTCCTGGGAAAGGATTTTGGGGGTGTAATTTCTGAACGAGACCTTTTTCACTTGGAAAGCAAAACCCTGAAAAAGTCAAAGTTTAAGTTAAGATATGCTGGTTAATTTTTTGAGTCAAACATTTTTGGTTTCTACAGCACTTTTGATGTGTAAATCGTGCCTCAGGTAGTTTTCGTAGTGGGTGGCTGAACAATCATGCTCGCTTTGGGTTTTTCCGAACTTCTGGCAGTTATCTTGAGGATATCTAGCCGAAAATTTGTCTCCAGGTGTCGTATTATATCTGAAAATTGAATAACGATTCTTGTTTTACCCAATTAACACAAATAGACATTACAATAAACAAATTTTTTTGTCGTTAACATCTAGGAAAACGATCCACCTCCGATGTATCCCTTTCAATTAGGTTGCCAAATTGATACGGACTAATGACCTATTATCAAAGATAGACAGAGTATTCCATTCATAAAATACTATTTGTTCTGTTGACAACAAGTTTATTGGCCAGGGGGGTTTTGGGGTGCGGGCAGTCCATGGTGGGGATAAGTCTCCCGATCTAAGTCCGGCCTCAACAGCTGTTCCCTGCCATGGACCAGACTCAATTGGTCCCGCCCCAAAACCAAAACGATGATATTCAAAAAGTATTCCGGACTAAAACAAATATATCTTATGTATCGGTCTTTTTTTAACATATACTAATCATCATCGCATAAAATAGAGACAACAAGATACTCTGGGCCAGAACGGAACGTATTACTACGACAAGCAGGAGGCCGAGTTTAGTCTTGTGCTGTGTTGCCAAGTGTAATTGAAAGGTAGGACTTTATACCTGCGTTAGAAAGAAAAAATAAATATTCCTACGACTAAATGTGGCATTTTAGTAGTGGGGGAATTTGGTCAGGATAGAAAGAATCGGACATGTTATCAACATATATTTTTGTTTATAAATCCGTCTATCTGTGATTGTTACGGACTGATATTTTATCCTATGACATTGCTTCAAAACTAATAACGACTACCTACTGGCAACGCCGGTTTTGTGAAACAGGCACTGCAATCGATTCGCCCATCAGTGCCCATCGAACTTTTATCATAAAAGTTAGAGACAGATAGATAGATGAACAAGTTGCACCTGTGCGCATTTCTTCATTATTTTGGTCAAGTGAATGACTGACTTAGAGGGAAAGGCGGGTCTTGTTTACACCTCTGGTGCATCCCCACCATATGCCCCCTCAAGCAGCTCAGTTCTGCTAACCCATGAGATGCGGTGTCTATATCTGTATTAAGATGTCATTGGTTTTACCGTGTTTGTGATCAGAGCAAAGATTCCTCACATGAATTGTGTGGTTCTTTGCCCTTGAATATTAAGGGTAAAGATGGCACATTTTATAGTGCTCTATCAATATATTTTGATTATGTCCTCATCAAATAAACATTACATAAGCTATTGTATTTTTGACTTGGTTCAAAATGATCAAATGGACAAGATTATTGTCAAATTAGGTGATTCTGGTAAAAAGCTTTTAAAGATGGCCCAGAAGGTTTATGGAACGATAGAGCAAATAACTAGGTATATCTCAACCTCAACATTTCAAAAAAAAATTGTTAATGAATTTGCTAAAAATATTACTTTGGTGGAAGAATATTAATAAATAATTAAATTAATATAGTCACGTAACCAAGAATGGGTGAATGTTAAGGAAGCCAAAGATACATGAATATTAACTTGAGAGAATATCTGGGAGTGTAGAATTTGCAGGCACAGTAGGTAAACCATTACTTTTTAGAAATGACCTCTTTTTCTGTCAACCTGATTAGAATCTATAATTTCATTATTTAAGAGAATGTTCAAATACTTCAATGAATGATGAAATTTTTGATGAAACTCGAGAAAGTATTACAAAGTAAATATTATTTATGTTATTCAACTTACTTTACGCCTATATCTTTGTTTTTTGCTTTCAACACAAAATCGGTCCAGTATTTGTCCTGATGTGGCACCTTAAGGCCGAACCTGCTGTCGATTTTATTTGACTCCTTGTACTTTTGAGGACCCGGATCTGTTCTGCCCATTTCATTTGGTCAGGAACGTAATCGATGAGGCTGAAATTAATAACAAATTTATTTAAGCAATGTTAAATCTTTCTACTCTTGGGATTTTTGTTTTCCATCAAAATTCAAATTATGTTTTGCAAAATAGAAATTTAAAGACTTACAACAGAAACGTTTAGCACTTCTAGTAACTCGAAGACAAATAACGAAATGCCAGAGAGAAATTTATTATCGGCCCAAAAGAAATCTTTTATCGATAAAAGAATTGAGCCAAGAAAGTATGTACTACACGAAGATAAGCATAAATTAAATTCTTCAACACCGACTCGTTTACGACTGCAAGAAACCCAGTTGGAAACTCTGATTTTATTGTTGCATTTAAAAAAATGAGGGGTTATTATAATTCTGTACGAAATTTGAAACTGTATTTGCACAAGTTTAATTGCAAGGTATTATTCTGTATTGTTCACGGTCAGCCCAAAGAGAAATTAAAAGATTTTTCGTAATTTTTTTACTTTCAAACTGCAAAGTATTCGACAGAAAAAAAATTACACCTGAAGAGGGTTGATTTTCTTATCTCAAAAATTGCAGACCTGATTTAGCTAAAATGACAACTGAACAACATCTCTCAACTACTACTATCCTGGACTTTTTTGGAAAAATAGGGATGAGACACAATAAACCAATGAGTCGCAGTGGAGGGCCGTAATAGGCCCACTCATTTTCGACCTAACCTAACCTAACTTAACCCTACCACCAGAATACTGAGTCATATGTTACAATTGATCTGATGATCATGATATGTAACAAGAATATTTGCTTGGGCCCAATTCCCCATAATTTGCCACAGATCCTGCAGCAGGTCCACAGTGAGTAGCTACTTTATTTTTTCCAGAAGTTCCAGGTATGCTTTTTATCTAGAGTAATTCCTAGATATTTGACTTCGTTTGCAAAGGGTACCACTTGTAGGGAACACTTACCTGTTGAGAAATTTCGATAAACCCCTACTCTATCCCTACAATAAGCAATTAATTCATCACTCATCACCAATTAGAATATGCCAATTAAATTTTTATATTCTTACAAAATAAATAATAATTTGTGTCCCAATGAGCAAAAAAGTCATCCATTAGGCAAGCGTGAATTAGTGTGGGTCTATTAATTGCAATTACATGTCATTAGATGTTGCAGCAAAACTGTCGACCTTAAGACAAAATATTGCTGAAATACCTAGACCCATTATTTTGGATTATACGTAAGGATTTTAAATAATGCCAACAAATAAGGAGTATCTTAACATTTTTCATGGTTAAGATAAAATTTATAGAAAGCTAAATTAATTGCAGTGTGATGAAATGAAAGATAACGTGGCTGAAGTGAAGTCAAGTGTTCATTTAAAACTCTTTTACTAGTCTTACAGATTCATTATAAATTATTGTAAAACAATAATACCTAAGCAAACAAAACTAAATATTTTCTTTAATTGGTTAAATAGAGGCCTCGTTTACTCAACAATAGATAGTTTTCACAATACTATAATTACCACACTTTCCACGTGGAATTCGACTTCCAAGAATCCTACAATACAAATTTAAATATTCGCTAATTATATAACTAAAAAAGAAGAAATTCTTTTACTTTCGATCTTGATAATTGTTTAGTATTTTTAAACGATTTCGTTATGTGTGTTTGTTTTGAATTTAGAAGAGCAAGCTTATATAATGATAGGTAATTTGTTATGTGAATAATAGTAATTTGGCAATAGAGAACGTAGTTTTATTTAATTATTTTTAATAAGTGAAACGATTTCAAAAAGAAGAGTTTTTCGAAAATTCACACCCTTTATCACTGTGCAAGGTGATTAGAGATATTATTTTGGCGGTGGGGTGGGTTATGGTTATTTTGAAAGATAGCAATAGAAGAGCTTTCAGAATTTCTCCACAAAGTCTTGTTACCCGTCAAACCGATTGAAAAGTAAATAATAAGATTTGAGGAAGTGATACAGTGGGTAAGGTTGGGTAACTAAAACAAAAAAATAGAAAGAGAGGGTTGGTCGGTTGTTAAAATCTAGAAACGGGACTTCGTGTGAAGGGTTGCCAAATAGCTTCCAATGCGGAGAGGGGTGTGGATCAATTAAATAATTAAATATAGAGCGCCACCTGCTTTTCCCTGCAGTACACGAAGTCAACCGATATAACGAAAGCAGGAAATTTCTACGGACCTATAGCAGCACAACCTGAAATAAAAAAGTAAACAAGAAGGAAGGACAGAAGTGAAACGCTTTGCTACAATCAGGTACGGGTTCTTAATTAGACCCAGAACAGGTTCGGAGCCCTAGAACACTGAAAATTATTAACACTGGAACCAGAACAAGAACAAAATAAATCGACTAGGAGTACCTAACCTTACGTTCTAAAAATAGTACCTATTTACAATAATTACACTCAACTTGAGTCCCTAAATAAAGTAAAGAGTATAACACTTATAACAGCAATAATATACCTGAAATGTAAATTAATAGATAAGCTTACTAAATGCAGTACCTTCTTAAATGGCCATTTAACCCCAGTGTACAAGTATCTTCCTGTATTCAGTGCAGCATGTATTTATGGGATATAGATCATTAAAGTTGAAGTAACAATACGTAACCTGAAGGGCAAATTCAATATAATATAGGTAATATAGATAATTAATTAAAATTGAAATAACAACACATAACCTGAAGGGCTTTCATATTTTAGTAGAAAGTTGCGTTGCTGTGGTGATTTATTCCAACAAGGGGTTGGTAAGGTTTGATAGGTTCCAGATATTGAGACAACAACCTCAGGTTTGATAAGTATCAAACCTGAGTAGTCCCTAATCCCTTGAGGCGAACCTGAAGGATTGGATTTATATCTTCCAGTGTTTCCGATGGCTTAGGACTGAATCAGGGTCGCGACATAAGCAACTGGCCCTGGGCACTGAAGTTCAGTAACTAGAAGTCACTAAAGTTTCCAATTGTCTAGCGGAGGCTGAAGACAGGAGGTATGACTTGAAATATGACCTCTGCTTGTCCCTTCAATGTCCTTTAAAAAGGTTGTGTCAAAAGTCCAAGGTGAAAGGTTCTGGGGAATTTTGATGGTATTGACTTTATTCGGAGCGCTGTCAATCAAGTCAATCTAATCGAATCAGCTGTTCTAATGTAAATATTGTGATTTTGTTTATTAATAAATTAATTGACTATTTATTTTAACCCGACTAAAAGGAAATCAATTCCATTATTAAACCTCTAACTTGATGATTCTGGGAAGAATGAAAAGTTTGAGGAAAGTGTGGCCACAACTATTGGAAAGAAAACAGTGGCTCGACGAAGGTATGCTGTTCCATGAGGCGAATACGCTTATTTCCTTTTATTTTGGCCCAGGAAAAATCATCCCGTAACACTCTGATAAACTTCGTTTCAAAATAAGAAGATAATGATAAGTTATAACTGAGCAAATAACTATTAGTCCAAAATTGACCTGCATTTTTCTTGGATAGGATATCGTTAATGAATTTGAAGAACCACCTTTTCAATATCGCGCATTCTCTTCATAAGGTGACAAAATAAGGGGTTTGAAATCTCTCTAATGTAAGTTGATTAATCAATCACCATTTTTAGATCTGTGAATGCAATAACTAAACAAAATTACCGCCTAATGAGGAATCTGATTAGACACGATTGCTTCGTTTTTCAATTTCTTATCAAATGAAAGTAATCGTCATTGAAAACATGGAAAAGAGCCTAGAACTAGAAAAAACCTTAAGTGTTTTTTTGAAGAGACACAGTTGACACTGAAATGCTCTCCGAAATTGTTGGAAGAAGAACTAAACTAACTAAAATCAACTCGAACAAAAACATTTCATCAAGATGGAGGTGAAGGTAATCATCGCAACTGTCTCTATTTCAGGAATCAGAAACCATCAAACTTATATGACCAATTATGTTTTACCTTTTTGCAAACAAAGATATCCATCTCTAAATCCATACCGAAAATGAGTCTTTCCAATCATTGTAACACGCACAAAAACCGAAAAACAACAATTTAACCCGGAAACTAATCGAAGAATCGAAACTCGCCGTTCGTTATTGTTTATCCACTATCAAAAAGAAAGGTGAAGAACGGACCCGTTGCTTGGTTCTTTCACTGACCGCGCGCCGGTGAAATTTTGCTCTTGGTAGCTTGACAATCAATCGGTACCACCGCAATGCACGTCGAGGAAAAAGAAGTGGTTTTTGATTGTTGGGTGCACGCGATGCGGCTTACCTTTATGGGGGAGTGAAGAAAACGACCACTTTATTATGAGCCATTAAAAAGAAACAGCGTATTTAACGCTTGCCGATGCACAACTGTATTTGAAATTGAAGATTTTTTTTTGTCTTTATTCTCTATGTGGAAATTAGGCAATGTTGTATAAGTGAGCCAGATTTTACACCTTATCCAGGGACACTTTTATGTAATTTATTGGATCTTAATTGAAACGTCTTGGAAACTAGAGTTTGATTCACTCCATAGTGTCTTTGAATGCTTCTATTGAAAGCCTAGAGCGTTTTTGAATTGGAACCGTTGAATTCTGAGAGAGTTTGTTACGGGATGATTTTTCCTGGGCCAAAATAAAAAGAAATAAGCGTATTCGCCTCACTGAATAGCATCTTCGTCAAGCCACTATTTTCTATCTAATAGTTGTGGCCACACTTTTCATCAAACTTTTCATTATTCCCAGAATCATCAAGTTAGAGGTTTAATAATGGAATTAATTTCCTTTTAGTAGGATTAAAATAAATAAACAATTATTTTATTAATAAATCAAATCACAATATTTACATTAGAACAGCTGATTGTCTGATTAACAGTGTTCCAAATAAGGTCAATGACCAGTACCAACTTAAATTTAAATCAGTCCCATGCCCAACTACCATCAAAATTCCCCCGAACCCTTCACCTTGGAGTTTTGATAGAACCTTTTCAAAGGACATTGACAGAGGTCATTCAGGTCGAGAA